CCTGAGCAGATTTTTTAAAAAAGCTAATCTGACCTTTGGAAAAAAAATGCATTATGCAGAAAGTAGTGCCTTTTGCTCTCAATTCTTTCCCTATTTCCTTATCTCTTCTTTCTTTGTTTCTTTGCTTCCTATCATGTATATCCTGCATATCTTTCTTTTAGAAAGTTGCCTACTGAAGACTGCATTTGAAATGCAAACTGCTGACTTTTCCCTTTCTGTCGTACTTCTTGAAGCACCACCACCACCACCACCACACTAACAGGCTCCTCTTAAAGAACATTCTCCCCTCTGCCCTGCTACTGCCCCCACATTCTTAACTCAGCATTTGGGTATTTTTGCAGCATCTACTTAGTTTGAAAGATAACACTGATAACTTGTTTTATATGAACCTTTATACACCAGGACCCTGCGGAGGGACTGACTGACTTCATCGGGATACTTTATGGCTTCATACATCTGAATGATTTATATCTCGTTTTGTCTAAGCATTTATGCTAATAAATTTAACAGATTCCCCGGTACTGCCGGGTCCTTCGTTTCTTCAGGGGGTCAAAGTGAGAGGAAACTAAAGTAGCGTGTTACTAAAGAAAGAAGGAAGAAACTGGCCCAACCAATTTAAACCACAAATAAAATTAGAACACAAATAAAATCTTTGATTACAGTTAAGCTGGAGCAACGGTCAAAAAAGTTCCTAGATCCAGATAGATTTCTGTAATGAAGCTCTTTCTCAGAGGCCAAATCACAAAAGTGACAATATTTAGCAAGTTAACTTACTGAGGAATACTTTGGTCCTATATATTTAAGTCCAACACTGAGGAAAAACTGACAACTATTAAACGGAGTGCAGCTGGGAGAGAGAAAGGGGATAAGATAAAATCCAGTCTATAAAATATGTTCCATTATCTTTTATAGGTTAAAAAACACAAAAGAAATACTTGGAAAGAGTTTTCTGAGATGGAAAGATTTTAAGATTGTGTGGGGATTTTTTTTTTTTACAGGTGCAGAATAAACTGGGTGTTTTTTTTTTTTCTCTTTTCTCCATTTTTCCCCTGTTGTTTGCAAAGTTGAATCTGGGGTCAGGAGTTCTAATTGTAACCTCAGACTGGAATTCCAGATGGTGCGCTCAGGACTGGAAGCAGCTCTCAGTTCATCAATTTCATGGGCCTACGTATCTGCTCTGGCCACGGCCCGGCCTCCATCCCCACTGTGGCATTAATGCAGAACAAATTGAGACATATCCTCTATATAATTAGTTCCAGAATTTAAAAAGATTTACGGTATAAGAATAGATGCCGCGCTGCTGAATCTTTTCAATGGGGACGCTCCGGGAGCTCGGGGACCATCTCGTGGTGGCATCAGAACAGACGGTTAACGATGCAAGCTGGGGGTCGGGGCTAATTTTTACACAGCGCGACCGGCAGTGCGTGCCGCCTCCAAACCGAGTCAGGGAATTGAGTTTTAAATGTCGATGGGGGTATTGATCAAAAGATCGAGTTAATTTTCAAATTAAAAAGGGAGCAGGCGGGGAACTGGGGGTGGTCTATAACAAAAGTCCCTCCTTTATTTTCAATTTAAAGAAGTGTGATTTCTACTGCCAGCTCGGGGTTGGAAAGCAGCCTAAAAGCCTGCCCAGCAGCCCGGGGTTGGCAGACCCTTAAGAGTTGGAGTCGGCGGGGCAGAGAGCATCATCAGCGGTCAGACTGCTGGTGCTGCGCGTGGCACTCCGGGCGCTGGCCCCTGCGCCAGGCAGCGTTAAAGCCCCTGCTCCTCCCGGCGCGGGCAGGCGATCTCGGCTCTTGACAGATCGCAGCGCTTTGCTGTGTTTATTCAGTTGTCGGCAGCCGCGAGGTGACGCCCGGAGCGCAGCCGGGGGGTGCGCACTGGACCCTGGGGCCGCGGCTGCAGGGCCGGACTCAGGGCTGGGGCTGCTGCAGCTGACAGCGCCAGGGTCAAAGTGGAGGGTTTATAGGTTCTCACCGCCCCTCCCACTCAGTCGCGATTTTTTGATCTTGCAATAATTAAGCACCTTTCAGGCCAGGGTGCACTTTACGGATTGTCCAAATCCACATAAGTTTCCAGCGTCTCTCTCTCTCTCCTCATTCTTCATTCCCCATACCATTAGCTCTGGAGAGGCAGAGGAATGGTAGCGGGTAAAAACCCCGAGTTGGACGCCGGGAGATCTGGGTTTCAGCTCGGCTTTACCACTAACTTGCGACGTGTCCTTGAACAGTAGTAGTTAAAAAATGGTCACGTTTATTGTGCACATAGGCCAGCACTAACCTCTTCTCTACTGCTCACGACCCCAGGAGGCAGGCGCTAGCATCACATTATCCATTTGACCGACTGGGAAACTGAGGCTCACAGACGCTATGAAAATCGTCCAGGGTTACTCAGCTGTTCGTGACCTGGTAGAACTGACGCTCCATTCTTTGGCGACCAGTTCCTTGGTCCTAACTACTGAGTTCTACAGTTGCCTTTCCTCCTCCTGTCTGGGCCTCAGTTTCCTCCTATGTAGAACCAGGAGTTGGATTTCTGCCTCTGCTAATCAGTGGTGCAAACAAGATCCTCTGCATCACAAGTATCGGAGCTGACGAGGTGGGAAGGTGGGTGAGAGAAGGGTGCGACCAGGCCTCCGCAGCCCTCGTTGCCCCTGGACTTGGGCCAGGCTTCGACCCACAGGAGGTGCCGCAGGGCGCCTACCTGCCCTGCTGGTGGAGGATGGACCATCCTCCCGACCAAACTGTCTGCCCTGCCCCTTCGCTCAGCTCAGAGAGCCGAGGGCGGCGGGCCGGGTGCGGACATCTGGGTAACCGCAGAGAAGTTACCCGGGGGTAGGAGAAGTGGGGAGCGTGGGCGCCCTGCAACCGCAGGAGTCCTCGGATTCCCCAGCGTTGGCCCTGGGTTACCTGGGCTTCCGAGCGCGAGGGTGCGGGTAGGCGTTCAGAGACTTGGGACGCGCAGCATTTCTGGAACCCACCTCTTCGGACTACGAGTTCGGGGGGGAAAAGGGGCACCCCAAGGTTGAAATGGGGGATCACACCACAATGGTCTCAACCCCTCCCTTCCTCCCACTCCACCCCACCCATTTCCTGGGCAAAAACCTTTATTTGTTTATTTTTTTAATGGAAAGGCAGAGGGTTAAACGCCTTTGCCTCATATGTGATTCAGAAACACAAAAGCTCCCACATTCACGCTATCGTCTTTCAAATATTCCCCTCAAACTTGCAAACGAGAATAAGTGAGAAACAATCTTGACCTTTCGTTTGGAAATGGAAATCCCTGGCTTTTCATAAAAGATTCGCCTTCCCTTGTAGCGCTTCAATGAGTCTTAGTTAAGAAAAACGACTTGGAAGTAGAAATAAAATTGGGGGGTGGGAAAGGGGTCTGGGGCATTCCAGGGACAACTTGGTATCATAAGTTTTGTCTCGAGGGCCCTTCTGCACCAAAAAGACCAAATGCAGGTGCCCTCCGCCCAGCCCTCCAGCCCCGCGGCCGGCTGAGAGGTGGCGCTTGCGGGCGAGGGGCTGGGGGTCCACAGAATGTAGGGGTGAAAAAGACCTGGCTTCTGGAGCTTTTTCATTACTTTAAGAAGCTTTTGAGTGGAGACGAAGCAAAGGCAGGCACTAAAGTAGCACAGAAAGGTGTCCACTACCGCAATAGTGGCCGATGGAGCCAGCAGGAACCGCGTGTTCCCGACCTTTGCCCTCACGGTCTCCTACGCCTCCAGGACCAGCGACCCCAAGAGGAGAGAACTGCGCTTAGCGTGTAGGCCCTGAGCGCGCACACGCTTTGGGTCAGCTGCCAGAACCCACCGCTACTTCGTTTACTCAGTGCAAATTAACTAAAACCGAAGCATCAGGCACAGGGAGTAAGTCAAGGCTCTTAAAACTCTCGGCTTCTTTGTAAAACTCTAACTGCCTTCACTGCTGCTTCACGTGGGCTTGGCTGGAAAGCTTCGGGCCCCGTCCCCGACCAGCCTGGTGTAAAAGACCTGGCGACCCGCCGCTTCCTGCCGTCCCAGGCTGCGCCGTCGCCGCTGCCCCCTGGCTCTCCTGGGCGTTTCCACGCGCCGCTGAAACACGCTCCAGCCAGGGTTCCCGGCGCTTCTCGTTGCTTAGAGTCAGTTCCCACATAGATACCGACTTATTTTTGGAAACAAACAGCACAAAATCTCAAACACTTGCTCTGAAGTGAGGGGGTCCCAGAGAGTGACTAGGTGGAGGGGGGAGTTTGATTTGGAGATGCCAGGATCCCGGAGCTCCCCACGGTGCGAACACCGGCTTGGAACCTGGGCCTCCGGAGGCTCTCCTCCGTGGTCCGCCTAAGTTGCTTGCCTTTCCTGGTCAGTCACTGCGAATTCAGAATGATATTCCCGACCACGGATGGAAGCAGAGCTCCTAGAGAGCGGCTCCGGAAACCAAGCCCCCCGCTCCCGCTCCCACGGGCTTCGTACCCCAAACTGGGCGCCAAGATTCTCCGGCGGGAGTATATGGAGGCTGTGAACGTTTCTTTAAGGGGTTTCTTCTTTCCCAAACTAGCCACTATTTTCCCGGCTTCACCGTAGAAGAATTAGATACTCCTCACTGGAAAAGGAGGTTAAATGCCGCTGACACCAATGTTAGGTAGGCGGTAACCTCCCCAAGTAACCAATTACTAGACGGTCGAAAAACGCCCCGTTTACCACAACTGAAGCAACCTCCCCAAGTCACCCACATTTGCCTTGAGTGTGACTTCCAGAACCCGCAAGGGGCCACGCCCCTTCCCAGTGATCCCGAGATTATGACCCACTCCAGCCTGCCCGCTCTAAGAGCGAGACCCGGACTAGTGCGCGCGGGGCAAGCGAATCCGCCTCCTTGGAGTCCGGGAAAGTTCTCAGCGCTTTCCAGAAGTTCCCGCCCTCATAGAGCCCCCTGCCCCTCCCTCCAACCCGCCCTTTTAGATGAACAACCCCATCCCTACCTCCGTCACCCACAGTTGCAGAGGGGACATTAGTTGCTCACCTGGAGAGACTCGCCAGTGCCTCGAGTCGCCCACGCTCTCGAAGGCCGAAAAGGGGAGGGGGAGAGGGTTGTGTCCCACAGGCCAGCTGAGAGCGCGTGGCAGGTAGGAGAGGAGGGTGTCTCCGAAAGGGACGCTCCCTCAGGCCCGCCCCTCACCCTCACTGCGAGGGCGCCCCCGAGGAGTCGCGCGCACTGCCTGGACCCAACTGGGCTGGGATGTGAATGGAGCGGCCGACACTCCAGGCTCCTCCTCCTCCCACGCCGCCGGCCCCTCTTATTTGAGCTTTGGGAAGCTGGGGGCAGCCAGGCAGCTTGGGTAAGGAGTTCAAGGCAGCGCCCACACCCGCGTATTCTCCGAAACCCGACCGCCTGTCCGCTCCCCCATTCCCGTCCGCCCTCCCACTCATTCAGCCACCCACCCACCCAGAGCCAGGCCTGCAGCTCAGGAACCGGGGCCCCGCCGCCTCTTCACCGCGATCCTGGACTTCCTTCTGCCGCCAGAGCCGGCTTCCACGTGTATCCTGGAGCCGGCGTCTTCGCACACGCTCCGCTCTGGACCTGGGTATCTTCAGCAGCCTGAGCAGTCGGGGATCCGGGGCCCCGGGGGCATCTGGGCCAAGTTAGGCGTGGCGGAGTCAAGCACCGAGCGTCGGCAAGACCTGAGGAGTCGGGGGACGTCCGGGGCCGAACTGCAGCAAATGGGCTCCGACTTGCGGGACCTGAACGCGCTGCTGCCAGCGGTACCCTCGCTGGGCGGCGGCGGGGGCTGCGCCCTGCCGGTGAGCGGCGCCGCGCAGTGGGCACCAGTGCTGGACTTTGCGCCCCCGGGGGCCTCGGCATACGGTTCGTTGGGCGGTCCTGCCCCTCCGCCCGCTCCGCCGCCGCCCCCGCCGCCGCCGCCGCCTCACTCCTTTATCAAACAGGAGCCGAGCTGGGGCGGCGCGGAGCCGCACGAAGAGCAGTGCTTGAGCGCCTTCACTGTCCACTTCTCCGGCCAGTTCACGGGCACAGCTGGAGCCTGTCGCTACGGACCCTTCGGTCCTCCTCCCCCCAGCCAGACGTCCTCCGGCCAGGCCAGGATGTTCCCCAACGCGCCCTACCTGCCCAGCTGCCTGGAAAGCCAGCCCGCTATTCGAAACCAAGGTAAGCCGGCCGGGGAGCGCCCCCTACGCGCGGGGTGGTGGCGAGGGGGCCGTCGTAGCGCGCCCGCACTCTGTCCAACCCCTCCCGGACCCTAGCTCCTGCCGGCTGCCGCCCCAAGAACTGTGAGGGTGGCGGAAGCTGCCGCTGGGGAAGCGGAGGCCAGGGAGAGGGGGGACTCTCGGGCACCGGCTCCTGACATCCTTGGGAGCCGGGCTGTTCGCTTGAGGCGGGAGGTCTTCTGGGGGCCCCTCCGAACCCTGGAGATTCCGGGACCGCGAATGCCCTTGGGAGTGGGAAGGGAGAATCTGTGCAGTGTCTGGCTATGCCTCGGAAGAGGTTTTGTCATTTAATGCATCGCCAAACTGTCACTCGGCATTGGACTTTTTAGACAGACTGTGGATTCAGAGTGGGACCAGCACGAGATGAGCAGCCCGTGCTGCCTCCGCAGCGCCCGAATGTCCAGGAACTGCGCTCGCCCTTACTACGCTGTTGGCACACATTAGACGCGCGATAGGTGTCGTGGAACACGGCAATGAATCAGTGAGCAGGCTAGCAACGAATCAGTGGCTTTCCTGAAACCACGGCCGTGTCAGCGTGTGGCTCCCTAGAATGGTGGTGTGGAAGCGGATCTCTCCTAGGCTCAGGTGGCGGCCACGCGGGCTTCAGGGCTGGATGAGAAACCCAACTCTCCGGCTCCAAGCTGTGCGGGGCCGGCTCCTATTGTAGTCAGTGAAATAAGGCCTGGGCTTCAGGCGCCTCCTCGATGAACGCGGGCTCAGCTGCTCAGAGATTTTTGCAAGATTTGGGCGTTAGAAGAAGGACAGGTTTATTTTGCTTCCGTCATCGTACATCGAGGTTCACAGCTCTAGTTTGCTCGCCCCGCGCTGGCACGCGCACTTGTCTTTCTCAGTCAGGAACCAGAACAGAATCAATTGTGCCCGGTAGTTTGGCTTCTAAATTTATTTTAATTGTCCGCCCTCCTCCCCCGCGTCCCCCGCTGTTTGAGAACCCAAACCAGTCCGGGTTGATTCAGTATTTTAGGAAATACTTTTCAAACGCAGTGGAGGATGCCTTTCCTGGAGCAACATTTCTCGCGGGCCTAGGGACTGGGACGTTTCTGGAATGCGTGGGGTGGTGGAAGCAGAGTGTGTGCTGTTTGCAGGGGGCGCTGGGACTCCCCAGACACGGAAGAAGGGCTCTGTTCTTCCGAGGTCGCGCTCAGCGTCTGAACGCTCCCTCCAGGTGGTCCGCCCCTACCCGCGCCCAGCCGGGAGTCTCTGGCCCGCAAGAAGCCCTGGCGAAAGCGAAACTGCCCTCTTCTCCTCGTCCTGGGAATCCGGGCTCCCTGGCCCTTGGAGGACAATTAAGCCGACTGGACCCATAGGCCCCTCTACTGTAGCTCTTTCGAAGGGTGTTGGAACAGCTCAGTCCCTCTTAGAGGCTCCTGTTTTCTGATCGTGCCACTTCTGATTAGCAGGCTGGTGCACCTTTGGCAAATCCCCAGGTGTCAGTTTCCCAATCCCTAAGAGGGGGGCTGAGATGGACACCCTGGGTAGAGGGTTGGGTGTGATGATCTGCGCAGAAGGCTGACTGTCTCTCGCTTCAGGTTCTAAATACAGAAAGTAGAGCCTCCACCTAACTGTGCCTTGAGCTGGTCTGGCCACCAGTGGCAGGCAGGTGTGTGATGTGAGTTTCTGTGTAGACGTGTGCTGTGTGGAAAGGCCCGAGAAACCATTGATTTAAGTCTCCTGACAGCAAAATACTATTGTGTCATTATCATTTGAGTCCATCTAGGTACTGTGAACATTTTTGGAACTTGGGCTTGGTCACTTTGTTTGGGCCCCACATTCAGTCGTCCAGGGCAGGTCTGTCGCCTGGGATCCCATCAAGCCAGTGGGGTGAGGAGGCCAACTGTTGGCTTCCTAGCCAGTGGGCACTAATGTAGTAGATAGGCCGGCTGCCAAAGGGAAAAAGGTTTGGGAGCTGGACACCAGGACTAAAAGGTGAAGAAGTTCCCTTCTCCCCACCCTGAGGAGAAGCCCAGTGGAGGGCTGGCCTCAAGGCGGAGGGAGCACAGCCTATTAGCCCGACTCTGTCTGTGGGCTTAGTTTTCTCTTGCAGTGAAAACAGAGATGGGTCACTGGCTCAGCTCTTGGGACTCACTTGGCAGCTGGGAGCTGGGGTGGGATGTCAGAAGCTGTTCCAGCTTCAGCCCTGGTGTTGGCCCTGAAGCCTGGAGATTCCAGATTTATTCTCTTGACTTCCAGGGTTTCTGTGACTCTTCCAGGAATGTAGGGACTGGTGGGAAGCTTGGGCTGAGGGAAGCTAGGGCATCAATTCCTTTCCCAAAGTGTGGGAATGGACACCAGCAGCCCCCGGCCAGACTCCCGTGGACAGGCATCAAGACCCAGATCCTCATCCCCAAACAGGGCAGCCCGGCCATAGCCAAGAGAGGATGATTTCTGGTACCCTCTCACCACCCACCCCCGCTTTTTCTTATTCCTTGAATATGTTTTTCCTATTTCTTAAAAACATTTATAGTTGATGTCTTAACCTTGCTTCTAAACACGAGTTCTGCAAACATTACGGAACACCTACTCATGCCAGACACGGAGGACTGAATATCCAGACTATGTGCCTCGGCCTGTACCTGAAGCTCACAGCATGACATTGGAGGAGCCCCTTGTTCTTGGATCAGGCTTGGAAATTTAAGTTCTAACTGGTTAGGTGCGAGTAAGACATCTCAGCTTGTGGCAGAGCTGATACTCAAACCCAGACCACTGAAGGCTGTTTCTACCCATTTTCCCAGAGATATGGGCCCACTGTTGACATGGGTTCCTCCGGCCCACTGGATGGACGCCAAACCCACTGCAGTCGGTGTGTGAGGGGTTGCCAGGGCAGAAGTGGGGTGAAGACTTGGGTAGCCCCAGATTAAATGCTGGCATTTGGGGAAGGGAAAGTTGCTTGTCACTCAGGCAGGTTCCTCAAGCCCCACTGGAGCACCAAACCAGAACGCAAGAGGAGGCCTTGGCATCACCAGCCACCCTAAGGTCACTGGGGAGACCAGCTTGCCCCAAGGGCCAAGGGCGACCTCCTCGGGTCGCATTGGAAAGGGTACTTCGTTGTGGGACAGATTTTCCCCGTATCCTTCAGTAGCTGCGGAATCATCAATATCAGCTTTCTGACCCAACTACCTTCTGACTGAGCCCGCTGTCCACTGCACCCCCCAGCTCCTGGGCGCGGTGGGAGTGGGGACGCTGGCCTGGTCCGGTGGCTTTTCGGCTCCTCACTGCGGCGGGTGGGGGAGGGAGGCGCAGAGTGTCTTGCTTCTTGGCGCGGTCAAGGTTGCACGCCCTCCCCGGCCGAGACTAACCGTGGGAAAGGCACTACCTTGGTTGCTGGAGCCTCTTCTTCTAAGGCCCGTACAAGGCGCCTTTGAACACGCTGCCCCTTTCTGCCCGCAGCTGCCCCCTCCCCGGGCCCCTGCCCCCGCGCTCTGCGCCACAGGCCTAGCGCGAAGCCTCAGGACAGCGCCCTCTAATCAGTCCCGCGTCAGATAAGCTTCTAATTAAAAGAGCCCTCCCTCCTCGGATCGAGCGTTCAGGAAACACAGCCTCTCCCGGGAAACTAAAGGAGAGGGTAGGAGGCCGGCCCTTGTCTACCGGGGTGTGCGTGTCCGGTCTGAGAGGGGCCCTGGGAGCCGTGCCCGGCGAGAGGACCGCGCTGCAGCCCGCACCCAAGGCTTTGCTGCTAACCGGCGGTCGCGGGGCCTGCCTCGGAGGACAGCACAGTGCCCGGGGCCACTGTTACCCTACGGCTCAGGAATGGAGAAGGGTTCGTCAAGAGGCAATTTCTTTGTCGCTTCCGTTTCTTCTTTTTCATTTAAAAAAAAATCCTTTCAAAATTCAGCCTTTGCTCTGCAAAATTGGGTGCTAGGAGTCAAATTTCGTTTGTAGGCTGATCGATAGGCCTCTTACAGAGCCTGGCCTCCGCTCCCAAAAGGGAGTGCCTGGAAGCCCCAGCGCGCTCACCCACGCCTGACAGCCAGCGGGGCGGGGGTTATCTCTGCCCACTTAGCAGGCGAGAAATGGAGGCCTCCGGGTCATGCAAAGTATAGAAGCTGGTGGCTTCCTAAATCGGCGTCTTGTGGCGCCAACTGGTGCCTGACACTTGGCTTGCTCTGTACAATCCGGTAATTCAGACCTTTCTCCATCCTTCCTCCCACTCTGACAAACCACATTCCCCAAGTGGGCCCCGTGGAAGCTCTGTGTCCGTTTTGGGGGTTCTGTTTCAAAGATAGGGGAATGCCTTCCTTTCTCTGTCCAGCCTAAGTCTTCTGGGGCACTTGTTGCAGAGGGACCATACCTGGGGGATGAGGACCGCTGGACCCCAGTCCCAAGAGTTGCGTGGGGTCCGGTGACCCAGTGCAGGGGCTGGGGTGGGGGGATGGGGGACTGGGACCAGCCTTGTCGCCCTACAGGGAGCCGTTGTGAGGGTCTCCACCAATCGCGTTTATCACGTGGCCTGGACCTCAGGCCAGAGACTCCTGATAGGAGGGGCCCCTGCCACTGAGTTCAGGGGCCCAGGACCCACCCTTCTCCTAGCCCTAGGATCCCTTTTCCCCAGAGGCTACAACCTTTTTTCTAGAAGCTGGAGGGACATATGTTTAAAGGAATTTAATAACAGTAATCATAGAAGGAGACTGCATTTTTCAGCTGACACCACATTACTTTTTTTCTTACCTTCGGAGTTCTACCTTGAGGAAGAACACAGGCAGCATTGCCTTCGATTTCTTGAAAGGGAAACTGAGGCAGAGGAGCCCTGCACTGCTGTGAGGTTGAGGTCCAGCGTTGAGGCCTGGGGCTCGAGGAAGCTCGTCTCCGCAGTTGTGGTCAGAGTCGGACCCACTGGGTGCGATGGGTCCTTGCGGGGGGGCAGGGGAGGACGCAGGGTCAAGGCTGGTGTGCCCACGGGAAGGACCCCTTCTTTCCCCCTCCCGGGCTGTCCCGAGGGCCCGGGGTGTCATGGCGTCGGGTCGCCCAGCCTCAGACAGATAACATTACTCGGTCATTACTCTCCCCATTTAAAGCCCATGCCGTTCAACTGGCTCCGAGTAATTAATGAAAGTTGGTGCTCGAGCCCCTGATTTACGGCGCCGAGTCAGCGCGGGGTCAGCCGAGCAGATTCATTTCTCTCGCCGGCGCTGCCCCTGCGCGCGAGCCGCGGTGTCTGGTTTGGGGGGAGAACGACTTTCTCCGCCGAGTGGTGGGCGGTTTTCATACTTCCTCGCCAGGGGTTCGGTCCAGGTGTTACCTGACGTAGGGCTGGGAGCTGGTCCTGGGGCCATACCTCGGGGCTTGGGCCCGTCTTCCCGCCGACAGCCCTAGAGGTCGGCGGGTCGGCATGACCCTCCGCTCCGGATCCGAATGCCCGGCCGGGAGCCCCTCTGCACCGCGCCTGGTTCACGTCTCCCGCTTGACGCTGTTCTTCCCTCTGCCGGCCCGCAGGTTACAGCACGGTCACCTTCGACGGAACGCCCAGCTACGGCCACACGCCCTCGCACCACGCGGCGCAGTTCCCCAACCACTCCTTCAAGCACGAGGACCCCATGGGCCAGCAGGGCTCGCTGGGTAAGCGGGCGGGAGTGCTGTGGGGTCCTCCTTCCTGCTTCTGCGTCGTCCTCCGCCCCCCCCCCCCCGCAGTGAATTTCCAAGCTACAGCAAGTTGGGGAGGGGAGAAGAGAACGTGTAAAGGGATCTTTAGAAATAATTAGCCCAATCTCTCAATGTAAAAGAAAAGATCTATTGCTCCCTTCCCCCAGAGTATGTTAGTCACTGCTCCACTCAACCAAGTCTAAGAATGTCCCGAGGGTCTTTTCGGTGTGTTACGCTTCTAGGAGAATGTACAGTGGAAAGCTTAGCTCATTCCGATCTGGACTCCCCCTCTCTGCACGCCAGGCATCCAGGCCCCATTACCCCCAGCTTAGCCTTGGAGCCCGGCTCAAGATGCTCTGTCCCGGTCCCTGCCCGCCGCCGCGCACCCCGGAGCCTTCGGGGCGCGCTCACTCCGCTCTCCCCGGCTCTCTGCAGGCGAGCAGCAGTACTCCGTGCCGCCCCCAGTCTATGGCTGCCACACCCCCACCGACAGCTGCACCGGCAGCCAGGCCCTGCTGCTGAGGACGCCCTACAGCAGGTAGGAAGGCACCGGGCTCGGTGTCTGGGTCCCTGGAAGCCGGAGGGCACGGAACGCCCGACCTGGGGCGTGCAGGGTGCGGGCGGCGAACGACGCTTTTAGCCCACCCGGCCACTTAGAGCAAATTAAAGCAGACCCCCCTGCCCTGATTGACAGGAATAGATTTCCTCGTTTCCTGATTCTTCTTTTGAATATAAACGAGCGCGGTTACCGTTTGGAACCGAACAAGAAAGAAAGGTGCTTTGAAAATTTACGTTTTTAAAGGGTTCTTTGCTGGGAGGATTTTAGCATCCCCAGGACCAAAGATTAAACACGGAGTCCACTGCCACGCGGTTCTCACTCTCCGAATCCCTTTCCGGCCGCTGGCGTACCGGCCAGACCTCTCTGCGACCACTTCGAGGGCGCGCACCCTCGCGCAACAGCTTTTCCCCACCGCAGCCGCGGGGCTGCCTGCGCCCGATCGGCGCCGTTCGCGGCCCTGGCTCCGCGCTGCGGCGGAACGCGCGGCCGCGTGTGGGATGCGTTCCGGTGCCTGCGGTCCTGCGCCTGCCCCTCTCCGGTTCTCGGCAGGCGGAAGGCAGCTTCTTTTCCTTCGAAGCTTTTTTCCTGTCCCTCGTGCCTTCTCTCGGCTCTGGCTCCGCCCTCCACCTACTCTCCCTCAAATTTATTCTTCAACTTTGGGTGAACTTGGCCGGCATCCCGCGTCTCTGATAGGGTTGCCTAGTAACTGGTGCACACACCGGCCCGCGCCTGGCGGGGAGCTCTGGAGGAGGGAGGGAGGTGGCAGCTGGGGGCCTCAGAGGCCGGGGATTGGGCGCGCATTACCTCATGTACCATCCCTACCCCTCACCCCGGCGCTGCGGCGATCCTGATACCGACTGCCCCCAAACTCATCTCCATCCTCCCTCCCCTGCGCTCCAGGACCCGGGGCTGACGTCAAGGGAAGGAGGTAGTGAGGTAATGAAGGAAGGAAAGCGCCTGCCCTGGGAGACTGGGTGGGGGGAATGGCCGCGCCTGGGGGACCTTCCGTCCCACTGGTGGAGGAGGGGCAGGCGTCCGCGCTCGGGAGCCCGAGGTGGCGCGTCCCAAAGTCCCGGCCTGCTTACGAAACTGAGCCTAGGACTGGCCTAATACTCCTGTTCCTTGGAAGTACGGGGCCGAGTTTTCCCCACTTTTGTGTGCCTGAGCTGCGCGGGCTTTGAAAACCTTTTATTTTGATCTGAAAATCCGGCGTATCTAATCGGATCTTGGATTTGAGATCACGTTTTTGTTTTTTGTTTTCTTTCCTATTTCCTTTCCTTTCTTTTCTTTCTTTCTTCCTTCGTTCCTCCCTCCCTTCCTTCCTTTTTCTTTTTCCTTTCCTTTTTTCTTTTCTTTCAGAGAAAGAGAGATTTTGCCTTAGGAATTAGAGGTGAATTTTGACTTAGGGCTCTGGAAAGAGACAGGGGGCAAAGAAATGCAGGCAGCTGCGCAGATGGAGAGGAAGAGGTCAGATCTCACCCTCCTTTTCTCCCTTCCTAGCTCAGGTCCAGTTCAGTTCTCCACCGCAGGCCCAGTGCTTTGCCCCAAGCCTGCCATTGCGCTCTCTGCACCTCCCCTCCGTGGGTCAGGGCAACGGAATGGATGCAGAATCCCCAGCCATCATTCTCTGTGCTGATCAGTTAGCAAAACTGGTCAGAGGTGCGGTTCCCCTTCTTGAAGAATGAGCTTCTGCGCATTGCCAGAGTGGCTTTGCTCTTACTCCAGTAGCCACTGGGAGTGCAGTTGAAATGGCTCACCATGGGGTGGCCTTGGCCTGCTCCTCTCTCCTCAACCCCAGCTTGGTGCCCCACCCCACATGGAGAAGACCCGATGCCTGAGTGGGTGCTGTCTGGGCCTTGGGGACTGAGAGGCCACTGGAGTCTGGGTCAGTAGTGACACACAGCTGCACACATTTCTCACTCTCCTTTCTCTGAAGCATAAACCCACCCTGTGGGACACAGAGGGCCCATCAGAGGGACTGAGCCACCCCCCTCCCCCCAAAATGGAGTCAGGGATAAAGTGATCACAATCACTGATTTAATGGTGATTCTCCACACTGAGTGTCTGGGGTGGATTTTGACTGAGGGCTGAGATTACTATAAAAATAGGAAAAGTCACTTGAATTGCATTTTATACATACAATTTTCACAGTTTTCTAGTCCAGTTTCTAATTAGCCACTGTAGAAAGCAATTTTGTCAGGTTCATCTTTAGGAAGTACCTGCTTATCCATTTTTTCTTTCTATTGAGTTGGTCAAAAAATCCGAATGGTTTTTTCTGTAAAATAAAAGACACATTTTCATTTTCACCAATAACTTTATTGATTTGAATATTTTGAGTATGCGGGCTATCTCCTACATGGTATAACATTGATTGTTCTCAGTTAATGTCTTGATTTGATCGCTATCAACTTCAACTGGTCTACCTGACCATGGAGCATTGTCCAGCGAGAAATCTCCAGCACAAAAGTTCACAAACCACTTTTGACACCTTTCATCAGTCACAGCACGTTCTCCAAATGCTGCACAAATCTTTTTTTGCATTTCAGTTCCATTTTTACCTTTCTTGAAATAATAGAGCATGAGTGTTGTGTATTTTCTTCCAACTTCAATATTATAATAGCTACACAAGGATTCACTAATTTTGATAAGTTTTTAAAATAAGCACGGTGATATGACAGCTGCCACAATACAATCTAACAAAATTGTTTCAAATGAAGTTAAAGACAACTAGAGCCATCGTATGGAAAAAGCCAAAGGGACTTTTTGGCCAACCTAATACATAATTATAACTTTTTGCCTCTCGTTTTCATGAATGTCAGAAAACACCATTTTCTCCTGTTACAGAACATTTCCTAAGCAGTAACATCTCCTAAAACGGAGTCTGTGACCCCAGTAGGAATAGAATGTGTTCCCTTGAAGTTTGTGCTATTGGAGTCTTTGGAGCTCCACCTACCCTAACATCGCAAGATTTCTAATCCCTTTGCAAAGATCAGGTGCTTCAAGCTGAAGGACATGTGATCGATGTGCGCTGTTTATGTAGCTGTGCAGACAGGTGTCCCACGGTATTTGCAGTAACCCCCTTCCATCCACCTATTACAACAGTTGCTGATCCATGGAGGCTTCAGGTACTGAAGTAATAAAGCAGGAACCCAGGTGATAATGAGGTATCATGAAAAGAAATCTTGAAGGTTTAGCATTGCCTGATATAGCAAGTACTTAATAAATGGTAAATACTTATTGGTGTTGTTTTTATCAGAAGGTTTATTGGCACTACAGCTGAGGCCGTAGCTTCTCTCTAAGAGCTGGGTTTCTTCTGTTCGCTGCCCTTGAAAGAGGTGAAGTCTTTCTTCTTGGGCTGTCACCGGCTGGGGATCACTGTGTTCCTTTCATGTGCCCTTTTCACAGAAACACTCTAGCGGGGGCCTCCTGTGGAACCTTCCCTTCTCCCTCAACTCTCTGGGCTGGCGGCTTGGGGAGAGAGAGCTATATAGACATCTTACATGACATTTAAGCAAATTGCTTTTTAAAAAGTTATCTGTAGTAACCATGCCTGGTGCCACAAAACTAATTATGCATTAATTTAGCTTAATTGAAAAAGAAAAAATCAGATGCTTCCCTCACAGTACTGATGAACGGACAGGTGTAGGGACATGTTAACATTGGGTTTGTGCATCGATATCACCATGGTTGTGTCATTTTCTTCTTCCCTGTTCCTAAAAAAACAGTTTGAAAAGCTATTTAAATGCTTTTGGGAACACAGTGTTTGAGAAAGCATAAAAAATAGGACTGAACTCTAATCACTGAATAACCCAACTTGGATTTTTGATGTTCAGTGGTGCTTTTCTGTCTAAAACTGGGACCTCGTGGGAAAGGCTTGCTTGTATTTTGTTCTCCTCCTTGCAGTTGATCCTCTGAGGCAGCCTGCCCAACTCCTTCCCCACCCCTCTTCCCAAAGCGCTGTTCCCCAAACTTGGATTTGGTCTTCCTTCCCAGCACGGAGGAAAGATAATGGTACATATACAGACATTAAATAAGCAGTGCACAATGTGAACTTGCTTGGAGGCAATTCTCAAAATTCTCTACTTGTCAGGAGAGAAATTGACAGCAAGAGAAACATGGTAAGTTCTCTCCTGCCCCTCAGGACAGATCTGAAGGGTTACAGCCATACACATTTGTGTGTCAGTGTAAACAGTAGTGAGTAGAAAATGTGCCCAGTCAACTTGTGGGAAGTGATAGGAGGTGGTTTCCCCACCCTCCCTGCCTCCCTGGCCGCGCCCCTCCCCACCACATGTTGCAGGTGGGTAGAGTTTTGTCTGTAGGTCACCAAGGCTTATGAAACTAGATTTCAGTCCTTAGGGAAGCCCGTGGTCACGCTGGGTGGAAGCTGGAGTCCCTGTAACACAGGGACTAGGATTTATTAGTACGTGATCCCTACATGTGCCAAGTACTTCACTCTCAGTTCGTTCATTTAGTTCTTCCAATTAATCTCTGAAGTGGGTGCGCTAAACTCCGTTCTGCTGAGGAGGAAATGGATGTAGAGACTCAAAGTAACTTGCCCAGGCTCACACAGTGAGTGATCATCAGAACCAGGATTCGATCCTCAGTATCTCTGACTTCAGAACCCATCTGGGCTCTGGACCACTGAGGGGTACCAGGCCACTCCACTGGAATATTCCCCTTATATAGTCCATGCCTTTGCTGATGAATAACAATGGCAAATTCTTATGTAAACTTATTTCACTCGGGCACTATTCTAAGCAGTTTACAAGTGTTGACTTATTTAATCACGTGGCAACTCTTCGAGGTATCATCCCTCTGAGGTTATCAGCCCCACATCACGGAGAAGGAAACCGAGGCCCTGCAGGTGAATTTGCCCAGTGTGACGCAGTAAGGGGCAGAGCTGGTATTTACGTCCAGTGGGTGAGGCCCCGGAATCTGTGCTTCTACCCCGTGCACCCACCTGCTGCCTCTCCTGACCC